ATTTTCAAATGATTTCAAATTTCTTAAATATTAAATAAAATTATATCTGCTTTATATCGGCCATCGGCCACCCTGCTTTCCAAGATATCGGCATCGGCTGTCAAAAAAACAATATCGGTCGACCACTAGTAGTGTTCATGCTTGCTTGTGTTTATTATGGTAATTTGCAAAAAAACGACATTTGCGATGTTTTTCCATTATTAAGCTGATCAGCGAGTCTTCGACAAGAACCAGCATACAATCAGATAGTGCCAAAACCTGTATTTTTCTTTATTTTTAAAAAAGATGCTCTTAAGAAAATATTTTAAAAATGTAAGAATTTGTCAAGAATTGCAATTAGGAACATTCTCACAAAAATAATGTATCTTTAGAATCTTCTTCTCTTAAAAATATCTCCATGAATCTGGCTTCTGATTATCACACACTCAGTCTGAGCGTCACATACAGGATGTGCGTCTGGCGTGCCAACCAAAAAGAAAGTCAGAAAGCAGTAGGAGTTCGATAGTAAGTGATTTAGCTCTCATGTGCTGTGAAAGGGCCTCCCGTAATGAATTGTTTGCTGCACACTAACTGAATTAATAATGACTTTGGCAGAGTGTTATGCCTTCCCACCAGACTCTCCGCTTCTTCAGCGTACTGTTCTCTATAAGCTTTACGATTCGATCACTGTTTCACCAATGGCTGTTATATTATCTATCGCCGTAGGTGAAATATTTAACAGCAGTTGTTGATGTCTCTGGCCTGTCTGTCTGTCACACTGACTGACCCGTCTCTCCTCATCTCTTCCAGGGCTTCGACCCTCCCCATCAGAGTGACACACGCACAGTTTACATAGCAAACAAGTTCCCACAGCATGGCCATTATATTCCTCAGAGGTTTGCAGACAACAGGATCATTTCCTCCAAGGTAAGAGCAGACAGCATGATTGCTCTGAACGCTTGAATGTGAAAAAGTCTTTAAAAAAAAAGACCTACAATCACTTGACTCGCGTGTGCATGTGTTTCCCTGCTCATGTTGAGAATTTGGCAGTAAAATCCTCAACGCTGTTTTGTTTGCTTTTTGTAGTACACCATATGGAATTTCATCCCCAAGAATTTGTTTGAGCAGTTCAGAAGAATCGCCAATTTTTATTTTCTCATCATCTTCTTGGTTCAGGTAAGCCCAGGTCGTCCTCGTATTTACCAGCTCTCAGCTGAGTGTGTGATGCTGATGATGATCTTCATCACCAGTGTTTCCCACAGGAGAGCTGCTGTACTTTGAGAGCCTAAAAAATAAAAAAAATTGTGCATTTCGCATTCGGAAACAGCTGTTCACAAACTCATCTAATTCACATTCACAAAATACTGATTCACAATATTTTGTGAATAAGAGTTAGGTAATGACTTTGAGAATTGCTGTTTGCAAATATATCAACTTTCTGGTCATGTAAATTAGCTTCCGCATTTGTGGATCATATTTTATCATAAATATATTTGGAGGCTGTTTTAGCGTCATAATCCCTGGCTTGAAAAAATAATACAGGTTCAGCGACATCAGTGTTGGAACAGTTCCTGTAAGTAAAGATTATGTTCACTACAAACACCTTGGTCGTGTTAAAGTACAACACAACAACAATCACTGTTCACCTGTCGTTCTCAACATGTCATCCAACCGACAATAATGTGAGCATGAAATCATGCTTGCCTGAAGTCACACCTTATATTATGCTCTGAATTCACCCGGATTTTGCCTGGGAAAATTTGCAGAACTATGGAACATGTGACCGCACCTTTAAAGTCATTGCAATATGAACAATATTTGATGTTGCCAACATGGTAATAACACAAATATTGTGTGGATTTATAATATATCGTACTCTCAGGGAAAAAAAGGCACAAAAGCTGTCACTGGGGCAGAACCTTTTTTGAAAGGTAACCGTTAAGGTGCTTATATGCACCCCTTTGGGGTAAACAAGGTACAAATGTGTACCTTTTGAAAGGGTTCTGCCCCAGTGGCAGCTTTTGTATTTTTTTTCTGAGAGTGCACAGCCCTAATGTTAAAAAGATACTGTTTTTCTAGATGAAACATGTCTCCTTGTTCTTTCAAAGGCGATGCATGTCTGTGGAGGGTAAAGGCAGTATATGACACAGTTCTGCCCTGTTTCTAACCAGATCCTCTCTCTCCCCTACAGTTAATGATAGACACACCCACTTCCCCTATAACTAGTGGACTTCCCCTGTTCTTTGTCATCACAGTAACTGCCATCAAACAGGTGAGTGTACGAGCGTGCTTAGGCAGCTCGTGTTCATGGATCATGTGTACGCAGTGTTGTGCCAGACTGATTGGAGGATAACCAGTCAATTGTCTGTTTTTCATAATCCTGCTCTCAAATACAGGGATATGAAGACTGGCTGAGGCACAAAGCTGACAATGAAGTGAACGGAGCACCTGTATTTGTTGTGCGCAGTGGCAGTCTGGTCCAAACCCGATCTAAAAACATCCGAGTGAGTTTCAGCCAACAGCACTGGGGATCCCATGATTAATTCTGCCAGACAACTTCAAATAATAAATATTTAAAAATTGATATTCCTCCTGTGGTCTCATAGGTAGGTGATATTGTGAGAGTAGCCAAAGATGAGACGTTTCCTGCAGATCTGGTGCTTTTGTCATCAGATCGGGCCGAGGGGACGTGCCACATCACCACTGCCAGCCTGGACGGAGAGACTAACCTGAAGGTCTGTGTTTTGTGCTCTTAAACAACAGCGTCTCACTGAATTTCTCAGAGAGGTTACTGAATAAACACGTGACTCACTTATTGAACCGCAAGTTGTTGTTACTTTCAGCGACGTCCACCTCAAAGCAGTTTTTGTGTACTGAAGGCTTGTGAAACGAAACTGAGTGTATTTTCTGGCTGGTTTTGTCGAACTGACCCTCCACTAAGCTCTGCTGTCATATTTAGCTCACTGTGTTATGCAGCTTCTGTCAAATGTGCAGAGAGACTGAGTGGATTAGCTCAAGAAATGCTGAGTAATGTCTGTATGAGCTTTAATGTGGAGTGTATATATATTCGTCAAAAAGGTTTTCAGTGTGTCAGGAAAGGCTATCCAAAACGTGTGATTGAGAAGCTGCAGAATTAAAGAAAATATCTCTAAAAAGAGAGAAAAAAAGTTGCGTTAAAAAAAAATGGACAACTGAAATATGTAATATGTCCATCATGAAATGTCAATAGTGTAGCAATGTATGAAGCACAGCTCACACAGAAGCCACTTTCAAACCAAACAGCTTTCTGTTGGTCAATGCGGCGAATCAGTGTGAAAACCAGTTGCCAAATCTGTGTGTGAATTTTTCACCCTCATGTGAAATTCCCAGTCGCGTGGATTCCTATTAAAATGACTGTAAATGCACCTTAATACATAGATAAAATTGTATTTTTATTTACTTGTTTATTTAATTGTTTATCGGTCATTTAAACATTATTCAATTTGGTCAAAATATTATTAGAGACTTAGTATTTAGTGTTTCTTTCTAAAATGGTATTTTGAGATTTTTTTTTTTTTGGTTTCTTTATATAATTTCCTCCTTTTACTGTAGTTATTTATTAAGGTGTTTCATTGCGATGTTCATGACTATTTAAATACTAATAAAAAAGAGTTTATCATATTTGTGGTCCACCATTCTTTTGGAAATTGTCATTTATGATAGTTTTTTTGTTTCAGATTTCCATGAAATTAAAATTTTGTTATATAAATATTTGCTTATTGCCCATCCCCAATGTTTAACCACTTCACAAATACACCGTCTGTGTCTGGCTAATGTGAGATATCTTAATAAAAGTGATTTAATATCCAGATATTTTTATTTGACAGTGCATGTGTATCTGCTGTCCAGTATATGTAACACATAGCATTTATGTGCTGTTAAGTCAGAAGTGAGATGTGTCAGATTCTCAGACTGAATGTGTTCTCTCTGCTGATGTGCAGACACACTATGCGGTGCCAGAAACGGCGGTGGCGCAGTCGGTGTCGCGGCTGGAGTCTCTGCAGGCAGTGGTGGAGTGCCAGCAGCCAGAGGCAGACTTATACAGGTACCATTCACAGTCAGATCACAGAAATCCTCCTCACACAGTCGGCTTGATGCTGTTCTCAGTTCTGTGAGTCCTGACGCAGCACGTTCTCTCTTCTCAGGTTTGTCGGGAGAATAACAGTAACCCAACAAGGAGAGGAGATAGTCAGGTAAGACCAGCTTCAAATCTGAGATGAATACGGTTTTGACTATTTATAAAATATATATGTAGAAATTATCTGTTTATTTATTATTATTAATGTTTTGTCATTTATTTTTTGTAAATTGTATGCGTTTAAGTATTTAGGTTGTTTATTTTTTATTTATTTGTTTATTTATTTATATTTTTGGTTTGGTCCTTTCAGACCCTTAGGACCAGAGAACCTCCTGCTTCGAGGAGCAAGATTAAAAAACACCAAAGAAATCTTTGGTATGGCATTCACACCATCAGGGTCCAACTTAGGACATTTAAAGTCAACATGAATTCAAAATGGACCTTATTTACTTATTTCGTAACTTATCACTGCACTTTACTCCCAAAAAGTTTGTAATGTTTAATCAAAATTGTGATCTTGCCAATGACACCTTTTGATGGTGTGAGCGTAACTGGAGTTGTATCATGCAGGTGTGGCCGTGTACACAGGGATGGAGTCCAAGATGGCTCTGAACTACAAGTGCAAATCCCAGAAGCGCTCTGCAGTGGAGAAGTATGTGTGTCGTCATTTCCATTTCCACGTCACACAACCGCTTTTCGTCAGCAGTTCTCAGTGCTCCATTATGACCACATCGTGTCTCTCGTGCAGATCCATGAATACATTTCTCATCATCTACTTGGGCATTCTGCTGTTTGAAGCCATCCTCAGCACTATTTTGAAGTACGCCTGGCAGGCAGAGAACAAGTGGGACGAGCCGTTTTACAACCAGAAGACCGATAAGGAGAGAAACAGCAGCCAGGTCACTATAAAGTGTCTACACTCAGCTTATAATGTTTATGTTATTTTACATTTAAAATTCATACTATGAGACATCTGGCAGATCAGGTTTCATTAAGACTGCTGGTGATTTTCTCCTCACAGATTTTGAAGTTTATTTCCGACTTCCTGGCTTTCCTGGTGTTGTACAACTTCATAATCCCCATCTCGCTGTATGTGACTGTTGAGCTGCAGAAGTTTCTGGGCTCTTTTTTCATTGGCTGGGACTTGGATCTGTACCATGAAGAGAGCGACCAGAAGGCCCAAGTCAACACATCAGACCTCAATGAGGAGCTGGGCCAGGTGTGTGTGTGATTAGAATTGTTAGCCCAGCTATAATACTACCTGAGATGATTAAACCATGCTAATGTTGCGCCCACAGGTGGAGTACGTTTTCACAGACAAAACGGGAACCCTCACTGAGAACGAGATGCAGTTTAGGGAGTGTTCTATCAACGGGATCAAATACCAGGAGATCAACGGGAAGCTCGTCCCTGAAGGAATGACAGAAGACTCTCCAGACGGATCGGTGCCTTGTTTGGTAAGGTTCATTTGTACAATTCTGCTGGTGAGGATAGTGGTGCAGAAACACACTTTACCATTCCATTCATTTTCATTGTATGTAGTAAATTTGGAAAACATAATCAAAATAGTGAATTTCAAAAGAATCTTTCCTGTGGATGCTGTGAGTACTTCTTTGTATGAGTCGGATCAGTCAGTGTTAAGTTATAGCGCCCTCTTGCATTGAAAATTCATGAAATTTGGCATGTTTCCTAGGAATATTCAGTTGTCCATATGTTTTAAGTTTCATGAAGTTTGGATGATATGATCACAAGATATAGGCTAATTAAACAATATGGGCCACACCCAAAAACATATCGGCCTATATCCACTAAACCAGGGGTCAAACTCGGTTCCAGGAACTGAGTTTGACACCCCTGCACTAAACGATTAAGTTAATTAAAATTCTTCTGATACTTTTTTTGTCAGAAGCATGTCTAGTTGATAACATTTAATGAAAATCGGACCAATGGCCAGGGATGAAAAAGTTTGACAAAAGAAAAAACTTGGGGGGAAAAAATCAATGACAGAAACTTTTTTTTGTTTTTTTTTGCAGAAATGGATCACATAGATATGATCAGCTTATTTGGGGAGACTTAAGTTTTTGGCAAAAACTTGTTATAGAGATTTCACAAAATTTGAGGAACATACTCGTTTTCACACAATGTTCGAATATATCAATTTTTGTAACATTAGGACATTCAGATTTGGCATTATTAGCCACTGAAACCTGATTGGCAGCTAGCGGCAATGTTTTTTCTTATGTAGCCGAGTCATTTTAGAGGATATGTTAGGACACACATGTTAGGATGCATACCAATTTTCAACTTTATTGATCATACGGTTATGCCATAATTAAAGATTTTCAGTTGTAGCACCGTCTATAGGTGCAATTTTGACACACTTTGCTTGGACTTCTAATGAATATTGAATGAAAAAGACATAAAATAACATCATGAAATACAATAAATATAAAAAACTTTTTTTAATTTCAGCTAGTTGCCAAGGCATTTCTCATTTTAATTGAACTTAATGTACTAAAATAACTAAAACACATATATGGTATATGTATATTATTATTATTTAATACTATTATTATACCATATATATAAATCAAAGTGTGTGTGCACACCTTTCAGAACGGGGAGGAGGAGTTGTTCCTGAAAGCCGTCTCACTGTGTCACACGGTGCAGATCAGTTATGATCAAACAGATGGGCCGGGAGACCCGTTCTCACATGCCAACAGCTTCTCGCCTCAGATGGAGTATTACGCCTCTTCTCCTGATGAGAAAGCACTCGTGGAAGCCACCAAGAGGTGAGAGCACAGCTGTAGCTCACATACGTCTGTGTATTTTTGCAGTCAATGTGCCAAATATATTCTTTTGACCATGACCAAACACTATTTTTTTGGTGAACTATATCTTTAAATTATCTTTTTGACTGCAGGATGGGTGTCACATTTATAGGAAGCCATGGAGAAATCATGGAGATTAAAACATTAGGAAAAGCAGAGAAGTACATCACACTCTTCTGTTTATTTTAGCTCACTAAATGTGAACCGTATTCAGAAGGTTGTTTAGCTTTTAGAGTTGTCTGTTTAACAGCTGTCTTTCTGCACGCAGGTACAAACTCCTCCACGTTCTGGAGTTCGACGCGAACCGCAGGAGAATGAGTGTGATTCTGCAGAAGCCCTCAGGCATGTGCCTCTGAACACGCTTGTGCTGTTTAAGACTGAACCGCAGCGCGTGAGCGTTACCTAATGACCTTCTGTCTCTCATTAGGTGAAAAGGTGCTATTCACGAAAGGAGCCGAATCAGCCGTTCTGCCCTACACCACAAGCGGAGAGATCGATAAAACCAGAGTCCACGTGGATGAGTTTGCTCTGGTGAGCTCTCTACATTATGCTGCCATGCCGGCTTACTAGTTCACTCTAGTTAGTAGTTTTCCTATTAAGGTTCGGTCACATTTACTGTTACTCTGCAAACTTTTGTGGGCAAATTCCATTCATTTCAATAGGAATTCATGCGATTGGGAATTTCATCTCAGTCGTTCACGTTGACCAGCAGAAAGCCGTTTGGTTTTGAAAGTGACTTCTGTGTGAGCTGTGATTCACACATCCCTATATTATTGACAATGGAAAATGGATCATTTTTGTAAATTTTGCAAATGTGTTTATTTACTTTTTTGGAAATTCAAATTCGTCCTAAGTTTTTTTCTTTAGAACAATCTTAAGAAATAAGACTTAACATTATTAAATGTTTTAGAGAATACAAAGTATTCTTAACTTTATTATTAAGTTTTACAACAAATAGCAGTTACAGAGAATTTTATTATTAAGAATGTCATGAAGAATCCGGCCCCAGAATATTGCAGAGACTTTGATTTCTGCAGGAAACAACTACCTAGACAATCATCTCGAAATGCCCTAACAGCTTCTCGCAAGCATGGATCGGCGAGCGCCTGCTAAACTTTTTCTTCAGACATCTAAAAGTCTCGTTGAAATGTCAAGGTCTGGTCTGAGTTCAGCTTTTTTAATTCAAATGATGTTGATGAGAGCGCTGCAGTTAATTAGCTCCTCATTATCAGCTGTGCTGAAACCCATGAGAGTGTCCTCAGACCCACATCACCACTGTCACACACACACACACACACAGACAGAGTTCTCAGAGGATTGTATTGAGACTCATGGGATGTTTCAGACACAACAGCCACATTGAAATGCTCCTCCATACACTGAATGCTCTCTATGTCTGTGCTTAAAAGCATTTTCTCCGTTATGGTCATGGAGCTTTCAAGCAACTTCTTGGCCAGCAGTTCATTCTCAGTTCTCCTTTACATCAACTTTTGTATTACATTATTTTGTGTATAATACAGCAAATTTGATCCTTCATTTGGGTTTGAATCAGTAGAATGGATTTTCTTCCTCATGTTCCAGCAAATCATGTTCATATTGGTTTGTTCCATCTCACTTTTGTAGAAGGGTTTGCGGACGTTGGTGGTGGCCTGCAGACACTTCAGTGCAGATGAGTATCAGGAAGTGGACCGGCGGCTCCATGAAGCCAGAACGGCTCTGCAGCAGAGAGAGGAACGACTGGTCGAGGTCTTCAACTTCATCGAGAAAGACCTGGAGCTGCTGGGAGCGACTGGGGTGGAGGACAAGTGAGTCACACACACACACACACACACACACACACACACACACACTCTCACACACA